ATTGTTTCCCTTCTTCCTCCAGTTTCCCCTTGCTGGGAGGTCGAAATTAGACCTTTCGACCCTCCAATTTTCTGTGTCACTTCGATAAGTGACCTTTTAGACTTTCAAAGACATTTCAGACGACAGATAAAGTTCTCCCCTCGCAACCTGTAATTATTCATTTCCACCTTTGTTACAATTTATGAAGTAACTAGCCAATTAATAAGAACCTAAACTTGTTACACGATTGAGAGTGAGAGTAACAAAAAGGTCACCTACAAGAGGAGTCCGAACTGAACCAACCCACACACTTCCTATTTCATCTGATTTTATGACCATATAAGGAACAACTATTACTAAGGTTGCATGACAAACTCTGACCTTAATCACCTCCAGCAATTAACTGAGTTGGTTTGATAGCTGTTATCAAATTTATGAGATAGAAAGAGTAACAATACCAGATAGAAGAAGTAATAAATCTAGAGAAATGTTTGATTTCTGACAATTAACATAAACAAATCCTGGATGCAAGTCAATCTTAGATGGGATTGCATCAGACTTAGTATTAGTCAGCCCTCCGAGACGTGTATAAAAAGGGCTTATAGAGATTGAACCATTGCGTATAGAGATTCATACTGCGCGTGCATACCAAGTATAGCATATACAAACAAAAGAATATATATATATTTTTATGCAATGGTTCATACGTTCTAAAAAAAGTTTAAATCTTCAAGCACAAATGCTATTCGAATCTCAGAACTTTTAACCTGAAGAAGACAGGAAATAACGGTCAAAAACGTTTGTATTACAATTAATGTTCTAAAAATATTTTACTGGTTATTTAAAGGTTGTTGAAAGTATATTGTATATTATACCAGTACCTATAAACGAGTGTGGTTAACCTGTATAAAAATATTGTTACTATTTACATCTTTTGCCTCTATTCATTTTTTGTTTGCTTTGTATAATTTTATAGTGAATTAAATATGTTATTCTTATATTTAATTATGTGTCACCCTTGAGTATGACAGACACCTTATCACAACCTCACTCCCCCTCCTACTCGTTTACCACATAGACCATCCCTGACAAAGAAGCTGGTAAGTGGGGACAAGCTCGGTGCTGTACCCCCTCGGTTCACACAATTTTTATATTTTGTTTTCACTCTTTGTATCCTGTGAGCACTAAGACAGCCTTTTTCCTGCCCCATTGCAGTTTTGGCAGGCCAACAACTAGGTGGCTGGATGAGAGACAAGTCCCAACAGATCCGGTACAGACACATTGAAAAATTCCTGGGGTTCTCGGCCCGAATGTGATCCTGACTCCTCAGATCAGTAAGCCGATGCCTTAACTGCCTCGGATACACTACTGTAATTTTCATATTAATTAATAAAGATGTAGCATAGGCTTTTGGCACTCATGTGCTACATATATAATTGTGGCAAAAGTCTATGCTACGTCTCTGTTGATACGAAACAACAGTTGGATGGCCGAAGCAGTTAAGGCGTCGGCTTAATGCTCCAGGACTCGGGTCCCATTTGGATTCACCCCTTACGTATTATTTATAAGAAATATAAAAGCTTAATTATTCTTTATTATTTTTTAAGAAGACAAAACAAACCTTCACTTGAAGAGGTCCTGAATTATATAATTTAGAACTTCGTTAATTAAAGACTTATTTCGGCTATTAATTTGGTGAGAAAAAACCAAAAGATGTTCCATTTAGTTTTGGTAAACTCCTTATGTGTTCAATATAATAAAGTAATCAAGATTAAAGAAAATTATTTCAAATTTCCACCTTTTAATCAAAAACTAATTGAAAGAATGACTTCTGACTTGATTTCTATTCTCTAAATTGTAAAACAGGAATAAATTAACCTTTTATTTTTGTTTGTTTGACTTTCGTTGGCTATTTCTGTTTGCTTAGCATCTCCTTTTAATTAGATTTAATTTTTTTTAAATGGTAATTGTGATGACAAAATGATTTTACTTTTTTTATTTTGTTTTGGAAATGTTGCAGCATGCCAAGTGATATCCTTAATTAAACATTGCATCTTTATCTCATTGAGAAATCACATGTGATAAATTAATTAAATTTCAGTGTCAATAATGCAAGTATATAAAAAAGTATACACTCTTAATGGTAAAGACTGACTAATAAATGCACAAGCAATTTTTATATTTTCAACTTCTTCCTTCATTTTTCTGCATAAATGCATCTCCGAATGAGGCAGTTGGTACCTTATCAGAGATGTAGACCATTCCTGTAGGGATAAAACAAGTCAAATGAACCAATGGTCTATATTTGACCCTTCTCGAGGGTCTTCAAAATGGGATAAAATTAAAAAGTGAAAAAAATCTGAAACTATTTCTCAAAGCAATGCTAAAAATCAACCGTTTTCCACTTTACTAGAGATGGCTAAAAGCTTATAAAACACAAGAAATGTCATTGCACTGACTACTTCTGCGGCATAATTGGAGTTATGCTACGATCACTGCTCCAGCAATATTGCAAGTTTAACAAGCAGACCATAGCTGTCACTATATCTTGTGAAGGATCGCATGTAGACCATTGGTCCTTTGACTTTTTCACTCCTATAGGCATGATCTACAGCTTTGATGACTCCCAACTGCCTCATTCAGACCTATACTCGTGCCCATTTTTCCATATTTATATTATTAGCACAGCATCAAATTTCATAAATTTATTACATATGACAAGTGATATCAGTTTAAAAAGTTATAAAGGTTTTTTCCTGGCATCTTCGATACTTTCATGTTTGATTCTACATCAAATCTGGAGTACTTTTCTCTAGTATAATCAGAAATACTATCAATGCTATTAAAAATTTGATTTAAATACAATAGAAGCTTAATAATTCTCATATTTTAAGGCATTTTATAACTTTGTGTCATTGAAATAAAAGAATTGCCGATCAGAATATTTTTTGGTAATAAAATTATCAACATATCTCATATATAATGTTTATGTTACCTTTAATTTTAACATAAAAACAAAATAAATACAATCATACTGGTTTAGTAAAATGTAGAACATCAAAATAATTTCATATAAATTATATACATATTTTTTTGCTGTTTTTTTTTTTTTAAACAAGTAGATTTATTTGTAGCAAAAAACTTGTCTGACACACATTTAACAATTTCAGTTATAAAATCAGATGCATTGTGTCTGAAAATTTATTGCGCAATGGGATAGGTTAAAGCAAAGTTTTACATAATATATTGCAGGTTCTCCTCTAGCAAGTGCCAGAAATGTCCTTCAGAGGTCCCAAAATCTGTGGAGTGAGGCCCAGGGACATAGCAGACCAAATTCCATAGAAGATTACGAGACCAGCAAAGAAGTTTTCCAAAAACTGGAACGTTTATGGATAAAACAACAATGCCATCTAACACAAGGTGGAAACACTAGACTTACGATTTATAACCTTAATGTCATTACAAATTTCTCACTGCACAGTAACTTTTCGAACATCCTGTAGAGTAGAATGTCAATACTTAAGTAATACCAAAGCCACTTCAGTTACAATTAATTGTTATAACTACCAAGAAAATTTAAGAATAAAGACAAAATCACGGTTGGTAGACTTTTGCAACATCAACGTGCAAGAATTATATGCAGAATCTTGATTTTTCTCATCTTTACGCGTAATGCAATTGCCAGAAGGAATACGATAATGTTCCAACCCAAACTATGATCAATTTCATAAATTTCAGTTTATATTTTATTTAATTCTTTCCACTTGTAAGTACTAATACAGCCTTTTTCCCACACCAAACCCCACAACAGGGCAGTTTGATAGTGAGAGATAACACCCAACATCTCTATTTCAAATCACTCACGAAAAGCCCAGACTCGAACTACTCCCAGAGCAGCAGGCTGATAGGCCTTTACTGTTTCAGTCATTTGTCTGTGAAGATCTGAATCGGATTAAACTTTTACCCTTGATAATAGCAACTGGATATTTCACTGCATATTAATTACAGAAATAAATATAAAATTGATTGTATATAGTAACTATCTCACAGCTATTATATACAATCAATATGATTCAAAGCTTACAACTTAGCCACGTAAAGTATAATTTAGAATTGAGTAATTAATAAAGTAAGTAAATAATATGTGCAATAACATAAGAATAATAAAAACTGATTTTCTCCCAAATCTTTTGTTTCGAAATAAACATTAAAAACAATTTTTTATTATGCTTAAATAGAATTTATAACCTATCATTAAATCTATAACCTAAATACATTCGAAAGCCACCGACGGAAAGGTAAAAATTGAAGTTTGAAGGTGGCCATTATCAGAGCTTCGATCATATAACAATAAGGAAAAACATAACCGTAAATAATTTAAAAAATAAAATAAAAAACTAAGGATTTCGAAATGGAATTTTCCCCATAAATACTTTTAAAATTACTAGCAATATAGAATATTTATAAATATTCAAAATTAATTTTAACCAGTCGCTCGCCACTCTCGTTAATCACCCAATTCCATAAACCAAACCTTTTCATTCTACGTTTCTGCTCCGACAGTAAGGAGCCTTTTTTTTTTTTTTTTGCATTTGCCCAAGCCGTACTCACGTCAACGAAAGCAACGAAGCGACCGGACAAGAAACCGAACCCGAAACATCCGGATCCGTCGGAATCCGAATCTCCCGTCGTCCACGGAGGAGTTCGTCTTCCATCCGCATCGTCGGCGAGTCGAGGCCAAATCCGGATCGTCAGAACCGTAAAACCGACGCCTTTACTGCCTCGACCATTCGATTACCATTTTTCCATTATGGAAAATGGGAAATACACACAAAAATCAAAAGGAAAATTGTAAAAGTTAACAGATTTTATGCAAGAAAATGTGATTTACACGTATTCAACTTAATAAAATGTTGTTTGGGTGATGGTTATTGTTCAAATTTGTTAATTTTTCATTCATTTTCTAATTTCTAGACTGAAAATACAAGTCAACAGCATAAGAATGTAAGCATTGAGCCTACCTTTCTATCATAAAACGTCATACAAATGCAAATATAATTTATTGACCCGATAATTACACTTCCCAGACTTAATGAGGATTTTTTTCCCCTCTGTTGACCATCACACCAATGTCATAACACCAATTTCCGCTTATTTCTACGTTTTATTACTAAACAATCGTCTTTATAACGCTTAATAGCTTTAACAATCGAAGATAAATGTGTTTTATTACCATTTATGTATTCGAAAACGTCCTCGTCCATAGATGGAAACGCATCGTAAAGTATACCAACTGTCGTGGTCGACATCTTGTTTCGAAGTCAATCGAGTCACGTGATTAATTGCTATACTTTTGTGTAATATATAATTGTAAAAAAAAAAATCGATTTTTAATCCGTNTTTAGATTGTAGTTCAAAGAATGTAGGAATATAAAATGAAATATAAGACACTAGCAATTTTGTAAGGAGAACAGCCTTATTAACATATCTTTATATATTTCCTTGATACTTTTAGGCATGCTGACCCATCCTGTGGTTAAAAAAAACAAAAAACCCGAAAGTACTAGAAATTTAGAAATTCACATCAATAGCGAGGTTGAGGCCGAAGTTTTAAATGCAAAAACGTGTACGTTGGACGTTCAGCGCCGCTTTCCTGTAAACCTAGAAGTTTGACAATGGTGTTTGGAATGTCGAGCATGATTCCACTGACTATCCAAACACCATTGTCACTTACGACCTATTATTTATTTTTATTTATTTATTTATGTTTCATTTATTTTAAATGTTAAATTTTAATTATCAAATTTAGCGAGGTTGCGGCCGAAGTTTTAAATGCAAAAATGTGTATGTCGGACGTTCAGCGCCACTTTCCTGTAAGCCTAGAAGTTTGGCAATGGTGTTTGGAACGTCGAGCATGATTCCACTGACTATCTAAACACCATTGTCAAACTTCTAGGCTTATAGGAAAGCGATGCTGAATGTCTGATGTACATGTTTTCGCATTTAAAACTTCAGCCTCAACCTCGCTTTTATTTTGTTTTTAAATGATGTGTTTCATTATAAAACCATTTTACATTCCAATATACCTTGGAATGCAAAACCTTTGAGAATATTTTGATTTCAAAATCTTAATAATACATTAAAAAAATAAAACTTAATTACCCAACAGTTGTCTTTTCAACATTTTCTCTCTTCTCTTGCTTTTGCTTTAGTCTTGCTTCTGCTTTTCCAAGTTTCTTCTGATCTACCAACTGGAAATTTTAATAAAATAAAATTTATCTATGATATTTCTCTTAATTAAATTAATGTAATACATTTAGATAAAGTATAAACAACGTACGGCAGCGTTTTTTGATGGGAAATTCACTTTACATTAAAATTTTTATGTATATGCTAGACAATCAAATGAAAGAACTCGGAAAAAATAGTGCAAAGCACCCTACATATCCTGAGTTAACGTCATCCGACCGATTTCACATGCGCCGTTGACTCACGAGCATAGTATGAACTCATTATTGTTATTTAATTAAGTGTTTTCGGTAACTGAAAATGCCTTACACTACAGCTCAGAAAGTCTCCGTGTTAGGGAGCTGCATAAAGAAGAAAAGTTACCGAAAATTAACATTATACAAACCAATTGACTTATTTCAAATTTGTCAAATGATTTACCAGGCTATGTATCGGGCTATATCGAGGCTAGTAAATAATTAGATATAAATCAATTTGGCTAGAAGTAGGCGGTTATGCCATCATCTTGTGGTAAATTTATTGATTTAATTGACATCCGAAAACCTTATTCTCCTTTCTTTTCCATTAGACATATGTAGATAGTAGCAATAGTTCTTACTTTACAGAAAAGCAGGAAAAAAATTGTTTTATAAATGATAGATTACACACAAAAACTATCGGTTGAAAGCCCAAATTCTAAAAAATAAAGAGCAAACAAACTTATAATTAAATAATCTATATTATAAAACAAATAAATGATCTGTACCGATATGGGATCCCTCTGCTTCATCCAAATACTTTTAACTTCTTCGGATCTAGTTTCAAATTCTTCTGCCATTTTCCCGAGATGGATGGGGGCGTTAAGAATTTTATGCTCCGTTTCTTCGTTACCTCCGTCCGATTCACTTAATTAAAAAATATAATTTGTTTAAAAATAAATTGGTAACAATTATAAACAAAGTACACTTGAGTAGTTTTTGTTTATACTCCACAAAACAGTCACACTCTTTAACCAAAATTTATTTTTAGGTAAAACTATATTTTAGCTTTGAGTTAGTTATAAAGTATTGAGTAATTGGATGGAGAAGGAGGGATGTAATTCAACATGTTCCAATCAAATCATCCATAAATCTTCTGAATCCAACCTGAATGTACAGTCATGAGTCACGAGTATCAACGCAAATGTGTTGGAAGTATCACGTGTCACAAACTCATTCAATGAATGGTCTTACCAAATGAGTTGTTACCATGAGACACATGGTAACAACTCATTTGGTAAGACCATTCATTGAATGAGTTATTATTGTATTGCTCAACACGTTAGTATTGCTACTCGTGTAACTCAAGACTTGGCATCCCGGACTCGAGCTTGGATCATTCAGAGCAGCACATCGATGCCTTTACTGCTTCGATCGTCTAGAAAAGTCCGACATACACCTCGATATATCTTTGATTGACGTTTAAATTAAAGCAAAATCAAGATGCAATAATATATAATTTTGTTTATAGCTGATATCAATTTAATTCAAACAGACTAAAGTTACAAATTATATATGCTTATTAAATATTTTACATTTAGCAATGTCAAATCTAAAGCTGGCTACACCAACAGAATTTAACTTCACATTTTGTGTTAATTTATTAAAATATATGATAATCGTTACTGCTGTTCTAGTCTATAAAATGGCTCAGAATAAATCCAACAATGGTTATGTTTGATATTAATTCCAAATTAAACAAAGAATAAGAATAAGCTATCAATATTATGAAAAGAGCAATGATGGGAATTTGGATTTCAAATGGAAAATAACAAAACAATGGAGACGGGATGTGTCAAAAGAACAAAGGATAATAGATGAACAAAGAGAGTAAACACCAGGAGGTCTGCATCATGTCGTAAATAATTATGGCTGATGATAAAATATAATTATCGGGTCTTTCAAAAAGAAAATTACTATTTTAGATTATTCTAATTATGTTAATTATCACCCAAGAATGCCTTAATGTACATTAAAACATTATAAAAATGCCCAAGTTTCGCATTTGTCATTACAATTTCACGACATGTGCATTTTGTGTTACACAGCACACTTCCAACCAAATTCTTCTTATGCTTGCTACGACATATCCGTCGTCATTCCTCCCACGGCAGCAACAATCCTACAGCTCCTGCAGATTACTCGTGTTGCACGACAACGAGCAATTCTGATTTTTTGAACTGCAGAACAAAATGCCTTCTCTGTTGTGGAGTCATCATTTTTGTTTATGGCATTTTCTATGCAGAAGGAAAACAAAACTCGGACGGTTGTTCAATCAACCGTCCAAGTTTTGTTTTCCTTCTGCATTCAAATATCTCATCTACTACCTCTAGAAAGTGCTGTAAACAAAAATGATTGGTATATGTTGCCTTTCTCATGGTTTTGGATCAATGTTGCCTTCTATTTCTTCTGTGTGAAGTAATATCAGAAGGGTCACGAGGAAGATTGAAAACGGAGAAAGAGAAGAAGCAGGAGTAAAGCGAGAGAAAAATCTCAGAAAAGGAAGATTTGAGAGAAGATCCCATAGAAGGGCATCAAAGGTATAAATATAATAAGATATTATTAAAATCTATAATAAAATAGTTCTTAAAAACATTTTAATACAATAAATACAATTGCAATATCAGTTCACTTACAGCTTCACTGCTTTTAATAACTTCTCACAAATGTCTATAATTTCAGTTTTGTCCTTGCTGCCGGCACTAATTTCGTGTAACATTTCGCCGAGAGCGTCGTAAACTTCTTCTGAAGATTGAAAATCATCTTTGCTGCCATCTAAAACTCCTATTAAATAAAAATAAAATTAAAATATTGAATAATCATTTCTAATAAGAACATTTTTGTCATATTTCAAGCATAAATTGTGGCAGAAAAACCTGTAGGAGCATACCTATAGCTTAACGCAAAAAAACTGAGATACTATGCATATTTTAGACTGCGCAATAAGAGTATACACAGACTACTTTATAACAGAAGTATATTAAAAGCATACTCACACCCTTCATGCATATGTCCTACGATAAATATTCCATTCTGGTATTGAATAGTTGCATTTAGGTTCTTGGTTAGAAGTGACAAATTGTATAGTATAAGGTAGAAAAATTCAGAGTATGTACAGCATATTGTTAATATAGAGAATTGAACAATTTATTATATACAGACATCCCTTGATTAACATGGTAGTAAATTTCGGACTGTGCCATCCCGATTCACGGATTTGTGGTCTGCCAGAAAGATCATTTTATGACCCATTTATCTCAGATCAAGTCCATTTATTTTACAACTATTTACAGTATATACAACAATAATTCTGGATGGCTACCATACGACATAGTGTTTCACTTTTCTTTTCTCCTCTCCTACGAGTCAAGTTGCCTTTTATCCAACTTTGAGATTTGTTGGCCATCCAACCTGGAGCTGGGTCAGTAGATTTCCTTTGGGTCCACCTCGACCCAATTTGTTGGTTGGGGTGACTCACACTGACTGAAATCCTCCGGAAAAACGGGTTCCTTCAAGTGGAAACCTTAATCTCTGTCTCTACTCATTATGCCTCTTTGACAACGGTTAATTAATTCCTTGATGCTATCACATATATCAAAATTGCATTACTCAAATACGATACCTACGTTAAGTAAAGACAGCCACATTAATTAAACCTTCTGCTGCATATATAAAGGGATTGTCGCAATTAATTTCTAACGTTAAGCAAGATATACCCGTATATAATTTTTGCGATAATCACGTCTCTATGGCTATCAAACAGTAATTTACAAAATGAAAACATTTGATAAGGACTGTTGTTTTCGACTTATCAGTTCTTATAGGAAACTCAGTAAATTAATCATCACAATGCTGTTTCAGGACCAACTATATAAACTTATATCTTAGACTTAATTATCATAAAAACACCAGTAGATAACTCTTCTATCTGGACATTTTTTTTAAAATTCTTTCCATCCAGTGGGCACTAAGAGGGCCTCTTTTAGCAAGCCCATTATGGGTTCGGTCAGGTGATGAGGAACGGGGCCCAACATATCCGAGCGGACCACCCCCGAAAAATTCCTGGGGATTTTTTGACCCGTCTGGATTCGATCCAGGGTCCCCCAGAGCGGTAGGCTGCAACCTTGACTGCTCGGCTGGCCTTCTATCTGGACTGAAATGCCACTAAACCAAGAAACATGATAATTTTTCTCATACCTTAGGAATATATATAATGAATTTCTATAAATTAGTTGACTACATGCAACTTTCTCTTTACAAATTTCATTTTTGAAATATGAGATATACTGTCTTTGATTAAATATGCTATTCAGCAAAAATTCAGCAGTGTAAATGCTTTATTATACTGACAAACATTTTCAACAGTCTTAAATGGTCATCATCTGGTTTTAACTTGGTGAATGGAGATTGTAGTTAGAACAAAATTAAAAAAAAAAAAAAATGGTGTTATTGACGTGGCAGTGCGCACAACTGATCACATGTAAGTAACAAAATGTAAAAACATTCCACACCAAACATTAATACAGGAATTAACTACAAAACTGTCTTTTAGCATTATAGAAGTCTCAACTTTGTATGCTATGTTATTTTTATTGGCAGTGCCACTAACCTTATTTGTTAAATCTGCCTCAAAGACATGGGCATAACATAAGTTTAGATACAGAAAGAACACGATGTCAGATTGTGACTTTTGAGTACCGAGATTCTAAGGAACAATGTAACCTGGCCGTGCAACCTTAACAATCTCTTAAGCATTAAAGAAATCTTGATAGATTTTGCCACTGGCTAAGACTTTCCACGGGCTAACCACAGATGTGTGTTAGAAGCCCTGTGGCTTCTAACACACATCCGTGACCTTGTCTTCACTGCTGTGAACTTTTACCTCAGCTGTATTTGTTCGTGTATATTTTTTATATCTTTATGTACATATGTTCTTGTACTTTTTATATTATATCATGTATATGTATATACTATATCCTTATTATATGTTTATTTCTACATGTATCTTGTTATGATCATTTATAACTTACGTATCTTTTGTTTTTACTACATTATATTACTCATGTGAACTAACTGAACTGTGACTTCTGTATGTAAATTTAATTATTAAAATAACAAAATAAGAAGTCAAATTTTATCCAATACTTATATAATACCACATGTTGACAATAAAGCAAATTTTTCTACAGTTCCTTTATTTTTAAATTATTTTATTACTTATTAAATCATTAAAAAATTNATCCCATCCTCTCTTCTATACTCATCCTACTCTCCCTCCCACCCCACCTTCATTCAGTCACCTTCCTTCAGGCTAAGTCGAAAGACAGCCTTCTTCCTTTATGACCAGTAACCAGTAACCAGACCCCCAATGGTACAAACTCATAAAGAACGCCTCCACGCGTTAAAGATTGTTTAAAGCACAACCCCGTGTACGGAATGTGAGGAACTGTTTATATAACATTACTTGTCGGAATTTTGTTACTCGGTGAACACCGGATAACACCAGTTGTTAATTTTTGTACTATGTTCCTTTTTGTATCGGAAATAATGCATTTTAACTAAAATGTGTGTATTGATATTTTTTTAAATTAATACTCTATGTTATACGTTTCTTCATATAAATGATGTGTTAAACAGTTCCCCCTTATACCACTTTTTTCATATCATAGGTTATAACCATACTACTATGTAATTAAAAATTTTGTAAAATACATCTATGCTGCACCATTATAAAACAAGTAAGCATTTTATGTTATCATCACCTCGCGTTTTAGTTATGTTCCTACTCACCAATGTCGTAAAACTAACCTTAATTTTTTTGTGTAATTTTAACAGCACTGAAGAGGGTTTGGGAATATAAGCCAACCCGAAATGCATCTGAATTAAAAATTTTTANTATAAACAAAACAAAAAATAAAGAATGAACGCAATCTAAAAGAATATTTCGTAATTTTCCTTGCAATGGAATTAAAATAAGCTACTTTGCGTGTCTAACACCTAAATACAGGCCTGATCCCATAGAAAATCCCTCCCGGGAGGTAAACCCCATTGGCAGATCGTCTACGCGTTGCATTGCCTTCTTCCTTCAATCCAATTCTTAGATGAGGAAAGTCGGGCATTCAGGTCACGTGGCTTCAAGTGAGACTTAATATAAAATGGTAAGTGACATGAATTTTGAGTCATGAAAACATGTTTTCTGCTTTTCTTTTAACACTAAGAATGCAATATTTCTTGAAATCAAAAACATTTTATAATGCGATAGATCTTAATCTGCCGCATGTCCCGATTAGCTGTACATAATTCAAAAAGTTCTCTCCAGAAAGGAGTTAGTTAACGACCGGCAGGAGCCTGTTGATTATTATATTTACAGTATGAAAAATTATATATTTTTTAGCGCACTATCGTCCGCCAGCGTGCATGCACGCACTGCATACCTACCAGAGTCGTTCCAAGTGAGACTTTCTCGGCCATCTTTCCTATGTGTTATACGTACAGTACAACCTTTGGCACAAGTTTGGCTAAATTTGTTGAAATCCTCCGGCAGCCTGCCAGTCGTGTTAGAAACAATTGGCTACTAAGAACCTAAAACGCGTCGTGAACAAAATGGCGTACATCGAATATCAACTTCTGACCGAAACAATATATTGTGTAAAAGATATGGTACATTGCAGAACAACTAAAAACAATTTATGTGCAAGTGTCTAGTGTACAATAAGAAATTGTTTATTTGGAAGTGTCGCTACTTGTTATACTTTCAACACCTAGTATAACAAGGTGATGGCCAGGTGTTTGAGCGGTTAAGACTTCAGTCTACCCCTCTGAGATAGATTTCGGGCTGGTTGTTGAAGAACCCAGGGCGATCTGTACCTGATGTGTCAAGGCAGTCCGGCAGCCCAAATTGTGGATTTTTAGAAACTGAGGATCGGTAAGATTAAAACGACCCTCCATAAACAAAACAAGTAATCACCAGCTGCCATATTGCAAGTGTGATAAAATATACGATGAGCACGAAAATTTTTAATTAATGATCTTAGGTAAGAGTTAGCAATACTGAAATACGAGGAGATTTGTGCGCAGATAATTTCTTACCATACTAAATTTCCAGAGATTTAACAGAAAGATTGATCAAAAAGAGATTATTGATGAAAATGTGTGAAATTCCAATTAATCCATGCATACTGTGATTACCAGAGCCCCTACGGCCACCAATTAAACATCTTTAAAATTGACGTTTCCACTTCCCGGGACGAGGACCCAGGGGTTGGATTTTTGGAAAGCGAGTGTTCGGGTTGTTTTATTACAGAGAACGAGGCGCTTGACGTGTGAGTGAGTGCAAGAATTCGAGTAAAGGTTAAACGGTGTATATCTTCGTGTACAGTGATGTTGTGTCCGTGACCGTGTGTGTGTGTGATCGAAAAACATTTTCCGGCGTATCTAAAAACAGAAAAATAGTNAAGTTGTTTCGCGGGCCACTTTGATCACGCGTAACATTACAATGGGCCACAATTTAGGCACACTGCTTTTAAAAAAGTAAAACAAATACAAAATGAATAAGATTTCATTGTTATACCAAGAGTTAGTACTTTCACTTGCGCATTATATATATACGAATGTATTAAATTTATTTAAAAAATATTCTAGAACAGGCCTGGCCAACCCAAGTTGTTTCGCGGGCCACTTTGATCACGCGTAACATTACAATGGGCCACAATTTAGGCATACTGCTTTTAAAAAAGTAAAACAAATACAAAATGAATAAGATTTCATTGTTATATACCAAGAGTTAGTACTCGCACTTGCGCATTATAACAATGA